AATAAAATTCCCTTCCTCGCCCCCCCCCCCCCCCCCCCCAGAACAACAACTACAAACCCCATGAGAATAGGACATAAATGGCACATATGCCTGTGTGCTATCTAGCCATGCCCTTGACATAATAATACAGCATTTGATCCTCACTACAACCCTAAGAAATAGGTGCTATTATCATACCCATTTTGTAGATGAGTAAATTGAGGCTGAGAGAGATTAAATGACTAGCCCAGGGTCACACCGCTGGTAAATATTCAGGATAAAATTTGAACCCAGGTGTTTCTGAATCCAATGCTAGCACTCTCCACTCTGCCACTTCGATGATGAATAGGAGAAAAGTTAACACTATTTTCCAAAATTTTTGAAATGAGGAAACATTTTTTGTTAAGATTCTCAAGTTAGCTAAGAAATAAATATGTTAGAGCTAGGGCATTTGTTTTCTATTTATTAGATTCCATCCTAACATCTGATGGCCAGTCTCACAAAATGTTAGAACTGGGAAAAGACCTCAGAAATAAGTTAGTCCAATGTCTTAATTTTATAGATGAGAAAACCAAGGACCAAATAGGTGAACTGATTTGCCCAAGTTATAGCTAATTAGTAACGAATGTAGACTCCAAATGTAGTGTTCTTTCCCATAGTGGGCTTCCTTTGGAAGGTGAACTGGCCTTATTTTTTTTTTCTGAACCCTCAAGAATTGTATTCCAGTCTTCTTGACAAATCTGAATTGTCAAGGGCCAGATTCTTCCTTCCCATCTCCATTTCCTGTGTGTGTAACTTAGCTAGCTTTCTGATTAAAACTCATACATACTTTGTTGTTGTTTAATGACTTTTTGTGGCCCCATTTGGGGTGGCAAAGACACTGGAGTACCATTTCCTTTCCTAGCTTGTTTTATAGATGAGGAAACTGAGGCAAACAGGGTTAAGTGACTTGCCCAGGGTCACACAGCTTCTAAGTGTCTGAGGTCAGATTTGAACTCAGGAAGATGAGTCTTCCTGACTGCAGGTCCAGTACTCTTAATTAACTGCACCACCTAGCTGCCCCAGACATGCCAATGTATTTCATTAGACCTTACAGTTGGAAGGAACCTTAGGGATTTACAGATAGGGAAAATATGACTCAAAGAAGAAATGACTTGTGCAAAGTGACACAAACCTGAGATTCAAATTCAGGTCTTTTGACTCCAAATCCAGGGTTATTTCCACAATGAGAGGGTCCCTTTCCTATTTTCAATAAAAAGTTTAATCAAAGTACATAGTTTAGAGAAACATGTTCTCTATCAGCATCTAGGCATTCTATAGCTATTCAGTTTCCCAGTTTTTGAACCCATCCTTCAGAAATGTGTTTAATGATATCTGTTAGAAGTTGATCACACAACCTAAAAGGATAATGTGCTTTGGCTTATTTAGTTTTTTCACTCACACCTTATTCAGTCACCCACCCTTCTACGTTGCAGGTAATTTGAAGTTACTAAAATATCTGAGAGAATCTCTTAATCTCAAGTAGTTAACAGTCTAGCAAGGGAGATATAAAATTCCTGCTTTCTAATAACAGCTTAAAGTTCACATTTCTTGTCCAGTTAGATGAAATTCTCTCACTTTGAATGTTCACTTTTTAAAAACTCATATTGCTATTTGCTGCCTGTCCATGTCTAGAGGGCAGCTAGGTGGCGCAGTGGATAAAGCACTGGGTTTAGATTCAGGAAGGCTCATCTTTATGAGTTCAAATCTGGTACTTACCAGTTGGGTGACCCTGGACAAGTCACTTAACCCTGTTGGCCTCAGTTCCTCATCTGTAAAATGGGCTGGAAAAGGAAATGGCAAACCACTCTAGCATCTCTGCCAGGAAAACCCCAAACAGGGTCACAAAGTCAGACACATATGTCAAGCATGCTAGTTTTTTTAAATCAATAAATACTAGGCATTAATATGTTTGTATATGAATTTGAAAATATCAACTTAACTGTCACCTCCCCAAAAGGATCTTTTCTGATCCCCTTCCCCAAGCTTTCTGCAGACCTTCACACCCTGACATTCCTTTGTATCTAATATATATTTATTATTTACTTATCTGTGTTATTATTTTTCCCCTCTAGAATATATGTCCATTGAGGGTAGAAAATATTGTAATGTTTGTCTTTGTATCCTAAAGAGCCCCTCCAAACTGCACTCGGAGCAAACGTTTGTGGGCATGAATAGAACATTTGTCTTGTATAAACATTTTATTAAGATTCTCTGAATTCCGTGTGACCCAGGGCAAGTCGCTTAACCTTCACTGCCCCAGGCAACTTTCTAAATTGCACAGAAGGTGCTGATCTGTGTTGGAAGCAGGAGCTCCTTCCAGGAAGCTCTCTACCCAGATACGATCAAAGGTCCAGTTCAAAAAGGGGGGAAAAAATCATCTGAATGTTCAGTTCCTCACTCTTATCGCCAATTTACATTTATTAGGGCTGGCTGCCTAGATAGTCGAGGAGTAAATAGCACTTCATGTTTTCGGTGTCTGCAACACTTGGCATCGTGTCTGGCATATCGTAGGCGCTTAATAAATGCTGCGAGTTGACTTACTGAAGAAATATGGGCAAGATAAAATTCCTGATCCTCAACATTATAATATCTAAGAGAAGCCATCATCATCCATGTCACTAAGGGCATATGTTGCTATATCCATTTCTTCTACAAGAGCCATACATTTCAAGGCAACCGATTCAACCTTTGGTTAAGTTGTGTTCGTGAGAGTTGAATGTTGCGTCTACATATTTACTTACGAAATAAGAAATCTGCAGGTCACTACCTCCAGCACTGCCTCCCTCCTTCCCTCCATTCACCCACCTCTTCGTGTTGGGAGTTGCCAAGATCCGGTACGAGCCCCACTCTACACATCACAACCCTAAACACATTCCAGAGCTGTTCACAATACAGACTTCCCATGTAATCACCGAAACGAGAGCGTGGAGGGGAGCGAGAAAGGACTGAGGTCACATTCTCGCCCGGCTCCCCACCCCTTGGCCAGAGCTCTGCCCGTTCCCCTCCAGTATAGACTTCCTGGGGCTCCAGTCCAGTCTAGTTTTAAATGTCTTCTTAAAAGAGGACAGAGCTCCCCCCTCCTCCCTCGGGAGGCTGCTTCGCAACAAGCCCAATAGATCTCACGGTCAGGACTCTCGATCTCTTTAAATGAATGAACTGGGGTGAGGGGAAGCGGAGAGGAAAGATTGTGGGGGGGATGCGCAAATCCTGTATTGCACAGGGGCAATCAACACCCAGAGTAGTCTGCTGATACAACCCCCATTCTTGACTTTTTGTTTTTGGTTTTGCTTTTAAGATTTTCTCTTTGCTGTAACTCTTCCAGCCGACCTCATTTTATATATAGTATATAGATGATAGATAGATAGATAGATAGATAGATAGATAGATAGATAGATAGATAGATACCTATACGCACGCACACAAGCACACACATATATAGGGAATCTGGCTTTTTTCTCTCCACCTTCTCTTTTCTTCCTTTCTTTCTCTTCCTTCTCCTCAGTTTCTCTTTCTCTCTCTCTCTCTCCCCAGAATTCAGGAGGAGGGAGTAGGAAAGGAAAGCGGGGAGGAGGGGGTTTGGTAAGGAGAAGAAAAAGAAATAGCTTTTAGAAACCCGATCTGTTGTTTGCGAAACACAATCGCTTTTTTTTTTAAAGCGACAGGGTGTCTAGACGGTCACGTGTCCAGGCCGGAGCCGGGCGCGCCACTGCGCAGTGGAACCAGCGAAGCAGAGAGAGCCAGGGAGAAGTGGGAGGGGGGTGTGGGGGAAGGAGGAGGAGGAGGAGGGCGGGGAGGAGGAGGAGGAAGAGAAGAAGGGGGGGTGAGAGGGAGGGAGAGAGAGTGTGTGCAGGAGGCGGCGAGCTTCAGACACACATACATACACACATACGCGCATACACGGGAGCTAGGTCCGCGACTAGAGCGAGGTGAGAGCCAATACAGGCTGGAGGCAGGAGCTGTTCGGATCCTTCACTGCCCCCCTCGACCTCCCGGAGTCTTTACCCTGCCCTCGGGATTGCAAAGCACCGGAGCCCGGCTCCAGAAGCCAAAGGCAAAGACTAAGAAGAAGGACACCCCACATTAAAAAAAAAAATTCCCCTCTGCCTCCTCCGCAAGGCAAAGCCTGCTGGTCCCCTCCCTCCCCAGAAGAAGGAGGAAAAAAAAGAAAAGGGAGGAGAAAATAGGAGAGAAGAAGGGAACCCAAGCTTTTTTTTCTTGCTGCTTGCTGCCCGGCGCATTGGGAGGAAAATAAAAGTCGGAGAGGCCAAAGGAGAAGAGAAGGAGGCGGAAAGTAAGCAGCCACCCTCGAGGGAGCCCCGAGCCCAGACAAGCGACTGCCTGCCGTGCTTTTTTTTTTTGATCTTTCCTCCTCCTCCTCCTCCTCCTTCTCCTTCTCCTCCTCCTCCTCCTGCTTGCTTGCGTGTCTGCAGCCGAGGCGAGGAGCCTGGGCGAGGAGCAACCCCGAGAGGAGGAAGACACCGCTGCAGTAGCGTTTGCTAGAGAGAGCCAGCCAGCCTGCGAGCTAGAGAGCGAAGCCGACGCCAGTCTCACCTCTTGTCAGCCTCGGCATCACCCCCTCTCAGATCTGTTTTTTCTCTCGTCTCCCTCCTGCCAGCCGTGGGGCCTGGAGGAAGTGGGGACGGGGTCACGGAGGGGGAAGCAGGGCTATCTCTCGGAGATCCACCTCGGAAAAACCAGGAGAGCCAGTGAAGGCTGGTGTATTTTTTTTTGGAGGGGGGAGTGGGTGGCTCTTTGTTTTTTTTTTTTCTTCTTTCGCTGGGGTGGTGTAGGAGGGAAGAAAGACGAGAGACTCACTTAAAATAATAATCAGATGAGCATGGTGGGAGAAGCCGATTCAAAGCTTTCTTTGGATTAAAAAAAGATACATATACACATATGTGTATATCTTTGGCAGAAGAAAAGGAGAGGAAGACGAACAGAGCTCCTAGAAGAAAAAAAAAGGATGTTAACTCGTGGATACATTTTTTTCCACCAAATTTTTTTTTGTGATACTTTGTAAACCTTTTTTTCGCCCTTCCTTTTTTTTAAACTCCAATACAACCAGACGTCCCCAGGGCTGCGCCTTGCAGTGGTGATTGTTTTAAATTTTTATTTAGAATATTTGGGCTTCCCCTCTTTTAATTGAAAAATAATTCTTTAGCCAGGCACCTCATGCGGGGTGAAATTCACTTTCTTCCCCTCCCCCTAACCTTCGTGTGGATGGAATTCGTGGAGATCCGGTTACTAAGGATATAGTGCAAAAAAAAAAATTAAATCGCGTGCCTGCCTTTTTTTCTAATTGCCAGCTTCTCACCCCCAAATTAAGTTGCTTAGAGAAGGAGAAAAGAACGTTTTCTCCTGATTCAATCAACGAAACAAAACCTTAAATTTTCCTTTTCCTGAGGTTCTTAGCCTCAGTAAGGAGCTGAGGCTGGAGGTGTTGACATTCAATAGCTACTTCTCTTCGTTCTGCATTTGGGGGGCAGTGAGGAGAGAAGGGAGAACTAGCCCTCCTGAATCCCCGTTTTTTCTCCCTTTTCCTTTGTATCTTCCCTTGGTCAGCCCGGTCTGTTTCCTTTGCGGGGCTGGGAGAGACGACCTGAATCGGGTGCCAGTGGAGCGGGGTGGGGAAGCCGGAGAGGAGCGGTCCCTCCCCTGCCAGGCCCCCCCAAACCCCCCCACTCCCTCCGGGCTCCGAGAGACTGGCGCATGTTACGGAGCGTCCCTCCTGCCGCTGCCGCTCCTGCCCGGGCTCCTGCTGCTGCTGCTGCTGCTGCTGCTGCTGCTGCCGCTGCCGCCTGCGACTGCTGCCCCAACTCGGCGCCCAAATTCTTCATGGTGTGCGGAGGTCATGTTCGCTCCTTAGCCGGGAAACGACTTTTCTCCTCGCCTCCTCGTCCCGCATGTTCAGGACCAAACGATCGGTGCTCGTCCGGCGTCTCTGGAGGAGCCGTGCGCCCGGCGGGGAGGACGAGGAGGAGGGCGCAAGAGGAGGCGGAGGCGGAGGAGGAGGAGGGGAGCCGAGGGGGGAAGGGGCGACGGACAGCCGGGCGCATGGGGCTGGAGGCGGAGGCGCTGGTAGGGGTGGCTGTTGCCTGGGCAAGTCGGTCAAAGGTGCCAAAGGTCACCACCACCACCATCACCACCACCCCTCCTTGGGCGCCGGCGCTGCCGGGGGCTCGGAGGCGGAATTGAAGGCGCTAACCCACTCGGTATTGAAGAAACTGAAGGAGCGGCAGCTGGAGTTGTTGCTGCAGGCGGTGGAGTCCCGCGGGGGCACCCGCACCGCTTGCCTCCTCCTGCCAGGCAGAGTGGACTCCAGGCTGGCGCTGGGGCAGGGGCCGCCCGCGTCCCCTCTCCAGACTCAGCCTACCCAGCCTCAGCCGCCGCCGTCGTCCTACTCGCTTCCCTTGTTGTTGTGCAAAGTGTTCAGGTGGCCAGATCTCAGGCATTCCTCGGAAGTCAAGAGGTTGTGTTGCTGTGAATCTTACGGGAAGAACAACCCGGAGCTGGTCTGCTGCAACCCTCACCACCTTAGTAGACTCTGCGAACTAGGTAAGGAGTTTCCACTTACTTCAAGTATAGCTTCTCTCCTCCCCCGTGATGGAGCAAACAGTATTGGGGTATGAACTTTTTATAGCTGTGTGATTGCATTCTTTTCACCCTGCATAGTTAGTGGGGAAAACTGCTTATAGTGAGGATGCGTTGTGAGGGGGGAACCCCGGGGGAGGTCTTGGACTGAGGTGTACTGTGCCTTCTTCCTTTTCTCCACTCTTCAAGCCCCTGAGTATGATTTGGCGAGAATATTATTCATGCAAACCGTACATGTTGTTCAAAATTAGAGACCGAAAAAGGGGGAGGTGCAAAAAAAGTGTCTTTGCTCCCTCTTGCCCCCACTCAGAGAAAGGAGTAGGAGATGTCTTAGGATGCAGACTAATTGATTCCAAGAGAAGTGGAAGTGCTCCGAGTGACGTGAATCCCCTATCCTTTGGTAAATAGGGAAAGTCAAGTATGATCTGTGGGACTGGGCTACTGAGATTGCAAAGGCAGTTTGAAAAAAGCTGTCTACATAGAAAGCCTGCTATAGATTTCCACCTGGATTGAAGAACAAGAAGTCACTGGGACATTGGGATTCCAATTTTTTCCCCTCCTCCGGAAGAAAGGGAGAGTCCATACGATTACAGGGTCTGGTATTTATCAATGACATGTTGTTGCCCCTTTACAGAGCTCTAGTCCAAAAGGTTTCTCCTTAAAGCGCTATATAATAAACGTAAGCTGTCATTCACTCCCACCCCCCCCCCGCGCCAGTAACACACACACACACACACACACACACACACACACTCTCTCTCTCTCTCTCTCTCTCTCTCTCTCTCTCTCTCTCTCTCTCTCTCTCTCTCTCTCTCCCCCTTGTTTTTGGTGAACCGGGGGCATATTGATTTTGGAGTATTTTTTAATTTAGAACTCCGTTCCCATTGAAGCAGCCCCAGAGTTTCGCGCAGCTCCTAGAAACTTAGAAACTTTCTTGAGTTCTTGGGTGGTTGGGTTATGAAATGGAAATCAGCTGATGGCAGGCAGGTCGATAGGACTTTTCCTCTTTTTTCTTTATATTTGGGTGTGTGGATAGGGGACGAGATGAGTGTGGAGTTATGGGGAGGGTTGGGAGTGAAGGGGGGAATTTTCTTTCTTTCCCTCTTTTCTGTGAAATGTTCTACGTGCTGCTCGGGAGGATTATCCAGCAGCCTGAATCCGTGGTGATTTCCAGAGCTGGAGTGTTTCAGCTCAGCCAGGGAGGCCGGTTCAGACAGTCAGAGTAGCAGATAGCAGTGAGTCTGGCGCCAGGCGGCCTCTTTTGTTTATCTGACAGCAAAATATCAAGGCAATCACCGCCTCCCGGCCCTGCCTCCAACCCCCAGAGCTAAGACAAACAGTTTTGCTAAAAGAATGCCACTGTTATCATAAGTTTCTATCTCTCTTTCTCATGGCTCTGCCTTATTTTCTCTTTACTTTTTTAATTCCAGAGTCTCCCCCTCCTCCCTACTCCAGATACCCAATGGATTTTCTCAAACCAACTGGTAAGTAGATGATTTTAAAGTACATCTAGTGTCTTTAGAAATGGAATGGTTAAGCCGGGTGTGTAGTAAGGGCAGCGGGGAGTCGTTATGCTATTGAATATAGAATGTGCTCCTCATTTTTGGAGGTTTGGGTTTTTCCCAGCAACTTTGTTAGGGCTAAGGGACTTTTTTTTCCCTCCAGGCTTATATTAGAAATGCTTTAAAATATTTTGTTCCTTTGAAGTGTTTTTGTACTCCATGACCTACAGTTTTAAGATGCATAGGCTGTGATATGCATTAGAAAGTGTCAAGGGAGTCAAGAGATAACAGGTTTTTAGAAGAATTCAAAAATTTCTAAAGTGCCAGTGCCCAAAGAGCAAGGGGGGGGAAAATTTCACAAACTCTAACAATTTTCATTTTGATGGATATAGGTTGGTAACCAGGTGGGCAGAGAGAATGTTATTTTCTAAGGCTGCAAAAGGTGATTTGCAGTACAGTTGAGGATAACAGCAACAGCAACAAAATCCTTGCCCTTTTCCCTATGTTACTTCCTATCCCTAGTCACCTGTAAGTCAGCCTTTTCCCATGTTACCTTAAGAATTTTTGGTGGGGGCCACAAAAGTTTCTCAGCCTTGCTCTGCATGCCTGTTGCTTTATAATTGAGTGGCAGGATGCCAGGGCAGAAGCCCATTTGAGGCTGGCACCGGCTCTGTTGCGGTTGTCTGCATAAACTTCTGGTTGGCAGCAGGCTTGGCCTTGTGTTGATAAGTAGGACTGGCATTGTAGAAGGAGAGAAGTGCAGGGGAAATAAGAATGGTGGATAACATCAGGGAGGAGTCCCAGTTTCATGGAGCCACTTCGTATCTCTCTGAAGATTAATTGGCTAAAAGTATTGATTGTAGCACAATTGTCTTTGTGCCTGTGTCCCAGTGTTGGAATTTTTCAAGCTTTTACTTACTAAACGTGTGTGTGTGTGTGTGTGTGTGTGTGTGTGTGTGTGTGTGTGTGTGTGTGTGAGAGAGAGAGAGAGAGAGAGAGGAATGTTAGTCCTGAAGAGGGGCAGAGGCAGCGGAGGTGGGTAAGCAAGCCCCCCCACCCCCCCAGTTCTCCCAAGTGTCCTCTGAGCATCGTTTAACCTTCTGGAATTAAAACAGCTCCAGCACATCATGCCTTTTGTCTGATGGAACTTCTCCTAATTAAAAGTTTTGCTGAGGTGGAGTCATGAATGAAAATACTTTAATGAACAGTGTTCCTGAAGCCCAGATTCCACAGCATGGGCCTCCTCCTCCCCATCTCCCTCAAGTTAGAGAGGCAGTTCCTCCCCTCTAATAAATGGCCTACAAAGCATGTGATATTTTGCTTTCGATTTGCAAAATACCAGATAAATGGTCATTAATGAGGAGATAACTTAGAGCACTGTATTCTTAGAGTGTTAACTGGAATTTACCAGTCTCTGGCTTTCCAAAGAAAGTTACCTGACTGCTGTATAAGTGCTCAAGAAAAAGGGGCAGTGTGATATAATGGGGAAAGTTTTGAATTTCTGTTAACAAACTAAGCTTCTCCCAGGCCCTGTACTTGATATGTGACCTTGCGCTAGTGACTTCACCCTCTGAGCCTCAGTCTCCTCATCTGTCAAAAGAGGACTAGATCATTAGATCAGTGATTCTTTATCTGGAGGCCAATGAACTTTTTAAAAAAAATAATTCTAAGTGTACTTCAATGGAATTGGAGTTGACTTCCATTGTTAGCTTATGTATTTTATGTCTTTAAAAGCATTTTTAAAAGGAATTTCTGAGCTTCCAAAGACTGCCGAAGGGGTCCTTGAAACAAAAACATAAAGAATCCTCCTGATAGGTGCTGTCTCTAAGGTTCCTTCTAGCTCAGATTATTATTTCCTTCTTAGTATTGGGTTTATGGATACTTTGCTAATTTATCCCACTCCTACTTTTTTGGGGGGTTATGAGGTCTGCTGTTTTTTAATTAATAAAATTTAGCATCACCCCTTGACCCTACTGTGTCTCCCTCCCATTTTGTAAAAGGGCAGACTAACATCTTGAAGCTTCTAAGGAAGGCAGGCCAGCTGCCAGCATAAACTTTTAGGAAAGGGGAGCTATTGCCTGCCTGTATGTGGACGTTCTGCAAAGAGACTAGGATAAATCTATTAAGAGGATTTAAGCGTCCAATTTGTTATGCCAGTACCTCATTTTCAGTTAGTGGAGTGATACATTTATTCATTAGCAAGTGTTGACATTAGGTAGCAAAATGTGTGTAAACAGACAAGCCACAAGAGCATGAATGGGCTACTTCGAAAGGGGGAAAAGCTTCTCTACATCAGCCAATAGGAAATAATCAACCCTGCCAATCAGAAACTCAAGAACAACTGGTTACTCACCCAAAAAGTTTTGTTCAGAAAAAGGGAAAACGTGTGTGTGTGTGTGTTGTGTGTGTGTGTGTGTGTGTGTGTGTGTGTGTGTGAGAGAGAGAGAGAGAGAGAGAGAGAGAGAGAGAGAGAGAGAGAGAGAGAGGAGAGAGAGAGCGAGAGAGAAGCGTGCTCGCGCGAGAGCACGAGAGCTAGAGAGGGCACTTGTTCCTTAAGAACTTGGGGGCAGTGACAATGAGGAGAGGAAGCCCCAGATGAAAGGGTCTGTCATTATGAATGGCCATTAGAGAGGCATACAGGTCTGGGACTGCACTGACCTTTTTCTGACAGCTCTTGGGGAGTGAGTGAAGGGACACAGAGACAGAAGGGAAGGGGAATTGGCCTGTTCTGTGCTGTCCCCGAATTTCATCAACACCTTGTATATTTCTGAGTCTCTTTGACCTGGGAATTTCATTCTCCCACATTCTTAAGTTTCTAAGCCCTAGGTTGAATTTGTTTGTCTTAGGTTACTAGGTGAGAATGAGGAACATGGTTTTACAATGGAAAACTGTTAAAAATCATAACCAGTTTAACAACTAAGAGAGTCCCTACCCTGGAGACTCAGGCTTGGGAAGAGGATGTTGGAGGTGGGGGGAGGGTTGGGGCCCTGGGTAAGGCAGGCAGACAGGCATTTCTTTGGAAGAACTATAGGCATTAAAGCTGGGGAAAGCCATTTTATTGCTATAGTTAAAAAATAATCAACTGCAGTTCACAAATGCTAGAGCACAGGGCAGCTTCTGTCGGTGCCTAGTTTTCTGGTCTGTGTTAGGGCATCATCACTGGCCCGTGATCACCACTAGCTTTTATATAGCACTTTAAAGTTTATACCATGTCTGATCCTTACCATAACCCTGTGAGGCAAGGTGCAATGAAGAAACTGAGTCTGAGAGAGAGGTTAAGTAATTTACCTAAGGTCACACAGCTAGTTAAGCATCTGAAGCAGGATTTGAACATAGGTGGCTGCCAGTCTGTCGTGTAAGGAGTGTTGGCCATGTTCATCTACAGAGAACTGAGTTAATAGGCTGCTTCAGCTGCTAAGCATGACTAAGTTTATGAGATGGGACTAAGGGTCACAGGTGTGTGTCCTGTATCTAGAAAAGTCAAGTTGTCTCTTGCCTTTTGCTTCACCTCTCACAGAATTCTGAAGGACTGAAAGGATGGGATTGGGGGTGGAGGTAGAGGCATGTCAGGTAAGTATTGATGGGGTGAGGTTTTTGTTTCAGTGGAGACATTAGCACGCTTTCCTTTGCCCTCGTTGCTAATCCCTGGTTTGTAGGGAAATGAGCTTCAAATTTGTGGCAGAGGATGGAAAGAATAAGTCTCATGGATAGAGATCCTGGCTTAGATAGGGGGTTTGGGTCCTCCTTCTGATACTTAGTGGCTGTGTAACTGTGTAAGCAAGTAATCACTTAACCTCTCTGTTTTAGCAAAGTCTCTCAGAATAAGTTTGGGAAGAGTTGTTCATCTGCCCTGGTAGAATATGTTGTCAGGGTTCTCCCCAGGCACGGCCCCTCCCCCTCAAAGTGGAACTGATGATTGCTTAGGCTACCTTCAATTCTGATGCTGTGGGGTATCCTCTCTGATGAGAAGAATGCTATCACGGAGGAGGCAGGGAAGAGCTCACAGGATACATCGCTTCCCTCTCTGGATCGTCCTGCTTAGCTAGGTTGGGTCCATGCTGCATAGATCTGTAGGCAGCTTGAGGATTTCTGTTCCCAGCGGTGCTTTAGACTTTCCCTTCAGGCCTTCCAGAAAATTTTGTGAGAGAAACTCTCCTGACCTCTGCTTCTGTCATTAGTATTTTGAAAGTCTATTGAAAAGACATCATTGTCTACCTTGATATCCGTTGGGGGGAGGGGGCCTAGTTAGTGGACTCCTTCAACTCAAATCTGTTTTCCTTTGTGACCTGTTAGCTTCCAGAGAAAGACCTCTGGCCTGAGAGGTCAGGGCATTTCCAAAGATCTATTGAGGCACATGGAAGGAAATGACTTCTGTTTTCCTCACAGCCTCTTGTACACATTAGTTGCTTGATAAATATTGATTGTTTTGAAGGTAGGAGTGACATAGACCTTCACTGTGCTTTGGAGGCCATGGTCCTCAGCTGAGTAATAGGTCAAGTCGGTGCTTTCCTTTGAAGACTTGCCTTTGAGGACCCCAAGGTATGAGTTCCATTTTGAATGGATTTTAGAGGCAGCTCCTCCAGACACCTTCTAACATACAGCTCTGTGGTAGAATGACTGATCCGGGGTCAGAATCCTGCAAGGTGGGCAAATGACTTAACTTCCCTGGGGCTTATTTTACTTATCTGTAAAATGGAGAGAGGTAGGGGAAGACTTTAGATGGCTCCGTAGATGGAATGCTGGGCCTGGAGTTGGGAAGACTAGGTTCAAATCCAGCTCAAACACTCACTAGCAGTGTGACCCTGGGCAAGTCACTTAACTTCTGTTTGCCTTAATCCACTGGAGAAGGAAATGGCAAAGCACCCCAGTATCTTTACCAAGAAAACTCATACTGGGTCAGAAAGCGATGGATGTGACTGAACAATTGAACAAGGAGAAGGCTAGATATAGATAGCCCCTGAGGTCTGTGATCCTTTCATATATAAGGAAGGAGTTTGGTTTGATTAGCCAGAGGAAGAGAGCCATGGGGTGGGAAGTCTGGATAGCTGAGATGTAGCCCTGACTCACTGGGTGGCCCTTTGGACTAGTCGCTGCGGCCTCAGTTTACTTCAGGGTGTGTGTCAAACCTGGTATACTTGGCTATTTCACAGGGTGGTAGGGAGAACTAATTAACGTTTGTAAATCTCTTCCTGAGATCAAAGGTGCTGCCTAAGTGCAAATACTATTTCATAAAAACCCTTGTGGTTTGCCAGTGCAGGGCCAAGTTACCTTTGATCTGAGACATGGTTGACACCCTAGAGGGTACCACTTCTTCCCTGAAGTGCTTGGGGGTCCAGGTTTGTCTGTAGTACACATGGTACCAGTTGTAAGAAAAAACTATATGAATGGGGAATTTGCTCAGTTTCTGGGCATGATTTTGGGGACAGTCTGCAGTGGAGGGGTGGGTCTGTAGAGGAAAGGGTTAAAGAGCCTGTGTCTTTGGAACATAGTAAACTCTCCACCAAAGGCATTTAGAAAGTGTAGGGTATACAGTATTTCATAAGTAACTTCATTTCCTGTCTCCTCTATTGTTTTCCATTTGATTAAGTGTATCCTGTTAAACTGTATATTCCTGTTACGAGTTATACTTTACCCTGATAAAATGAGAGTACACACACATTCCCCCCACTCCCCCTGCTTTTTAGGAGAGAACTCTTGAAAAGGAACTTTGTCATGGGCTAAGGAGGAGACTGCTACAGTCCTGTGATAGCCCTGGATAGTAGAGGGGAGGGAGGGGGGAGAGAGAGGAAGGAGGGTGTAGCCTTCCTAGTCTGGAGGTGGTTTAAACTCAAGACACTATACTTAACAAAAATGCCAGCCTTAGGAAAGCCCAGTTCCTAGTATGGAGGAGCCTCTGTTAGCCTTGCTAAGGAAGCAAGGCACTCCCAGCCCTAGGGCAGAGCTTGGAGGTTGGCTTTTGCTTGTTCTTAACCATAGTTGTTAGCCAGAGGTCTGTACTACAAGTTGGGAATGTCATCGTGCCTTAAACAGGAGTGGGTGAATTTTTTGGAGGCCAGGCCTGTTTTATCCAGCAGGCACCTAATACCCCTGTGAACTTGTAGCATTTCTCTGGAGTCAGTGTTGCTATTGAGATTGGCCCCATTTTAGGGAGCAAGAAATGAATTATGAGTTGGCTGGGGCTGGGTACTGTCATTGACTTGCACTTTGTTACATGTGGTTACCTTTTTTTTTGTTTTCTGGGGGTAGGGTGGGGTGGGGTGGAGGGGACAGTTGCTTGAGGTCTGTGATTGTCTAGTTTTTGCATTTGTGTCTCCAGTCTCTAACTTTGTGTTTTTAGCTCATATGGTAGGCATTTACTAATGAATGTTTGCTGCTTTGAAGGTAGGGGAATCTTTGCCTGAGATCCCCTGAAGCTTTGGCATCATCAATAACACAGAAGGTTTATTGAATGTGTTAGTGTTGGGCACTTGGGATCCAAAGAAGCACGGAAGGTTTACAATCTAGCTGGGAAGATGGCTATTTAGCCAAGACACAATCTGATAAAAGTTATGAGGCTGAAAAGGAAAGGGAGAGGACTGGTGTCACCAAGGAAGCCTTCACCAAGAAGATTAGATGGATGTGAGTTGGGTTTTGCAGTATGCCTAGTATGGAGCCTTTTGGAAATAAGCCTTTTTTCTCTATTTCTTTATTTGTCAATAAGGCATTGAGAAAAGTTGAGTCCATCTACTTGGCCAGCCTACTGAATTTTTTTCTCCCAGGTTATCCAAAGCTACTTTCTTATCTAAAGCTCTGATGGGATATATATGCCCATTCAATAGATATTGTAAACTGAGGCCCCAGGTAGGTAGAAGGAAGATGGATTAAACAGCAAAGCTGGTCAGCAAGAAGCTCCAACCTAGCAAGCTTTGAGTTCTGTGAAAAACTTTGGGCAAAGGAGTAGTGACCAACTCTGTACAGTAGCCTAGTGTTTTCCCTTGGAAAATTCTTAATATTTGGACATAGTTTGGAAATGGTTTGGGTAGCAGTATACACTCAGAGTTTAAGTAGTGGGGAAGCAGTCTAAACTGCCTTTGACCTTGGCCCCGAAAGGAAAGATGGCCGACTTGATTTCTTCAATGGAGAACTTGTAATAAAAGAGATTCCAGCCAGTCTGTAATTTTGCATGACTCGACTAATGATTAACTGGGTAGCACGGAGCCCAGACAGGGCTGACAAACTAATGTGGTCCGTCTCATCGTGTACAGCAATCCTGGAGCGGACAATTAGTGATAAGCATCATTTCCTGGAGTAAACAGCTTGGAATGTATGGTCTCTCTTTAATACTGCTTGAGAATGTACTAAAAAAAATAACAATCTCTCTCTTTTTTTCTTTTTACAACTCTTCTACTACTCGTGATGCAGCAGAGTGTCCAGATGCTGTGCCTTCCTCCACTGAAACAGGGGGAACTAATTATCTGGCCCCTGGGGGGCTTTCAGGTAAGACCTGTTACCTTATTTACCCAGCTATTTCCTGACCCACTTGAAAAAAATTAGACAAATGGACTAGTCTTTCGGTTCCTACTCTGACTTGTGGTTATTTTATATTTAAGTGTGTTAATTGGATGGATGGATACCCAGGAGCAGTTTATGCCCTCTGTTGCTAGAGCAGTGATGAGCATTTTTATCATTAAGGCATTGGGCCAATTCTATAGATAGTGTAAACTGAGGCCTCAACTTTGGGTTCTTCAGTGATTCTCATTAAGTGTTGGTTTGTTTGGAAGCTAGCTATTAGAGATTTGTATCTCCCCCTCCCCCACCACCACCATAGGTGTTCCCTACCCTACCAAATTGAGGGTCAGTGATTATTACTGTGGTACTTCAGAGGTCTGGTGAAGCCAAAATTCGTGGTTTTCTGTAGGCTACTCCCATTGCTGTGCTGAGTGAAAGGAACAAGAGGAGAAAAATTCTGAAATTCAGGTCCAGAAAAGATGGCTGGGCAAGGGACTTGCCCAGTATTCTTGGCAAATAGGCTAGAGAGGCTGGTGGTCCCTTTGAAATATTTTGCCTGGTGATCTGGAATTTGGAGTGTTTAACCCAATAGGGTAATGGGGGGGGGTGTTGGACTAGTGCCCTCTTGAAGGCTACTGGAATGGAAATAGCTGCTGTGTTGCCTGGCCCCAAGTAAATGAGTGACAGTGGGAGAGATAGAGAGAGATCTCTAGCTCCATATTTCTATATATATTGATGAAGAGAATCTCAATAGCAGGCCCTGGATGTGTAGTACCAATTTCTTTAGCTATTTCTATAGGTCATTTTTAGGTATATCTCTCTCTCTGAGATTCTTTTAAAAAAATAACATTAAATGAAGAGGACAATAATAGGTCATTAGCTGGTTATCTTAAGAGCTACCAAGTGCCAAGTAACCAGCCTTTCTATTCTGAGAGCCCTTTCTCCTTCTTAAGTGAATTGCAGCTACTCAAAATCCAAGTGTGGAAAGTTAAAATCCACTTAGTGTATCCTGAAGGCCCCTTTCCCTTTAAAGTCAGCCTGTCTTTCTGACCAGGATTTGTTGCATGATTATCCTCCATTTATTGCCCTAGGGCAGGATTGTGGGATGAGGGTGTCTACTTAGCTCACTCCCCCAACACCTCTTCCACTCTGCCAAAGTCCCCTTTTCAGGAATTGCTGTTGGTGTGGCTGTCTTTCAGGAGACCCTTGTTTGTTTTTATTTCCCTGTAATATATATCCTGACTGATTTGAGAGGGGAGTGTATTGTTTACTCAACGGCCCTAATGAGAATTGAGATTTAAAAAGGGGGGAAAAGGGGATCAGAGAGTGCAGGTTATTTAGGGATTGAGAGAATGAAGGAAAATCCAACTTGTGGATCTTCTCTGCTTTTTAAGGCAGGAGGGGGACCCCAGAGACAAAAACGAGGCTAACAAGGGAGAAAGAACCAAGATTAAAAAGAAAAAAGGCAGCATAGTAAGGATGTTGTTAGATAATTTTGTTTTCTAAATCATGAAAAATGCAGGGAGGAGGCCCTGTTCCTTAGGACCACATGAAATAAGCAAAGGAAATAAGTAGTAGCTTTTGAAAGGGGGCTCTTGGAGAGGTTTGTGTTATTGATAACATCTTGTCTGTCTAGTCTGCTGAAGGAAAGGGTGGGGGTAGGGGGAGGAGGGGGCCCCTGGCTACAGGAAATGACACAACTGGCTGGTTGAGTGCCTTCTTAATAAGGGGGCTCTCTAGGGTTGCTTAACCTTAAAAAAGTGGCAGCAAATATTTTCCATCTCTTCTCCCCTCTCCCCCACCCTTCCCTATGGCAATCCCAGTTCTCTGAGGGTTTGGTGCTCTTTTTGTTCCCAAAGGATTTCTCCAACCCCGAAAAGAAACTTTTTTTTTTAAACAATCATTAACCACTTTTTTTCCCTTCTCAGAGTAGGTAATTGCAGCCATTTAGTTTAATGAGGAGCTGATACCAGAGTTGTGGGTTTCAGAAGGGGGATGGGCCAGGGGCTTGGGGGATTCTAAAGCAAAGGCAAAAGCTGAGGGCTTCCACATGAAAGAGCACTTGTTTTGAATTTTAGGTCTTGATTGACTAATTCCCAAGGCTTCAAAGTCCCAACTCAGATCCACCTTTCTTCTTTACTTAGGGAGATAGAGCAGTAATTAGGTGCATTGTCAGGACAACTGCAAGTGTAACCTCTCAGCTTTGGAGGGAGGAAAATTACCCTGGTAGTGGGGATGCAGAAACTGCTTTCTGGATGGGTCTTATTGGGTTAAAAGGGGGGAGGGGGAGGTGAGGAAAGCTCAGCTTCCCAAACTGTAGTAGTCAGAACTCATCAAAAAAATTGTTTGAATGGCCCATCTCCAGGGCTTTGAGTGCTTTCAAATAGAAAAACCCCAAACCTCTCCTCCTTTTAAGAAGTTTGTCTTTCCATTCCAACTGGGCTGGGTGTGGCTTCTCAGCAGATGATGAGGAAAGTAGCCTGGTTATAATGTCTCTTAGGATCTTAAGGATTCGGGGTGGGGGTAGAAAGGGGTGTTTTAATGGAGAAGTTGACTGCTTTGTAGGGAGGGGAGGGCAGTAAAAAGTTGTCTGTAAGTGTTCTTCTCCACCTCTCTCACCCTTGAAATAACCAATCTGACTGTCTCTTTCACATGCCTTGTGCTCTGTTTTCCTTCCTGGCCTAGGCGTGAGCAGGCTTAATGAATGGGGCTCAGTTCAGGGTGGGAGGAAGGTCGGCGAGGCCGGAGCCAGGGCCTTGATTCTTTTGGCAAGGGAAGAAGGAGAAGAAGAGGGTGGGTGGGAGGGGTGTGGAGAGCTGAATGTGAAAATGAAATGCCTTTGGGAGGTCTTCACAAAGGAACAGCCCCATGCCCACGTTGACCTGCCAGTCAATGCTTTTGCCATCTCATTCTGTATGAATGTGATTCTTTAAAAAGGTAATGCTCCCAGGAGAAGGTCTTCTGTCTGTTGTATTTCAGCTATCCAGATAACTTTAAAGAACCATAACATTTATTACTAAGGTCCTTCCTACACATAGAGCCTCATTCAGTTCAGCCCTCATGATGGTTCTCTTAGAAAATAATGATTATCTTGAGATTCCTCAAAAGAAAATCCTCTTCTTTTTTCTTACCTTGAGTTTTTTTTTCTTTCATTTCCCAAATTACAGTCATCAGCAAACCCATTATTGCAAAAAGGGAAGAGCAAATTACCAGTAGGGGAAAAGGGGACCTTTTCTTTTTTTTTTTTTAATGCATTAGTCCATTCTGGAAATTGGTTTTAATTTTTCACAGATTTTTTAGGTAGATTGTTTGGCTTATGCAGGTACATATCAGGGATGCAAACACATGACACTTGCTACCCCCCCCAAAAAAAAAATAATAGGTTCATCAGAGTAGTCTGGGTTATCCCTCCTCTTCGAATGAGATGAGTGATGAGTAGATTGTTATAGAAGGGTCAGTTTCTGTTCTAAGATTCTTAAACTTTAAAGGGATTTTTTAAAAGGGGGGAGGTGTGGGATTTTAGTCCTAAAATTTGCTGTATTGGTGTGAGCTAATCTGTGTAGGTAGGTTTCATCTCTCAGTGGGGATGGGTCATCTTTCAAAAAGTCAGGAAACTTCAGAGAACATTCTCCTTATTCACTGGGAAAGTTAGGAGTTTGGCTCAGCTATAGAAGCCTCATCTTATGAGGGAGGGCCTTGGAGTCCACGGGAAGCTGCTTCGTTAAATTCGGTGGTCAGGGAATGAAAAGACTCTTCTCTGGGAGCCCTCACTTGTATCACTGTTTAATTAAGGCACAATGTTCAAAATAGACTTGTCTTTATCCACCTGTGTCAGAAGGGACTTAAGTTCCCATGCTAACATTAGGTTAGCCTATGTCCATAGGGATGTTAGGAAGAAAGGACTTTTTGTAACCCCTTAAAATGATATATAAATACAAACAATTAATTTACTGTCCTTTGATCTGGGGATGGTAAAATGGGGACCTCTTACTTGAAGAATTCTGAGTATCTTCCTCAATTCAGCTTTGGAAGGTGGTATGACCCCTATTCAAATCTTCAAGATTCTGAGGCTAGCCAGTAATCAGTAACCTTTGTTTCTACTTGGGTATCACTTTACTGTTAAATTTATAAAAATTGTAGATCTCGGTTAGCTGGATGACAACTTCCTGATGGATTTTTAAAGGAGGATATAAAAGGGATAGATAGCAAGGACCTCTCAAATTTTGAATATTGACATATTATTGGTGGGTTGTGTTGAGGACTTCAGCAATCAGTTTTCATCACACTCTAGGCAAAATATTCTGACTTCTTAATGGAACATATACATTTCCCCTTGATTCATCTTTTGGAACAAAAGTTCCAAAGTCTGGCTGACTTGGCATTTCATTAATAGTATAAGTGATGGGAAATGTATCATTAGGCCTTTGAAGCCTACTCTTTTCTGTGTCAACCCATGAGGAGCACCTTTAAGATAGATGTGTGTATACACATATACGTGTGGTTTGTGTGTGCATATATATGTGAAAATACACATTTTTTTTCCATATGTATGGAAAATATACACACATAGAGCTGAAAATGGTTCACAAGGAAGGTACTCTCTGTCCTGGCTCCATTAACCCTAGGAACCTGTGGCTTAAACAGAAATACTTAGGGAGCTTAGGGAGAAGGATTGTTTGAAAATCCTGTTTTATATCTCAGGCCCCTTTCTGCTTTCTTACATCCTATCCCCTCTAATCACGGGAAATTTTAAACTATGTGAAAATACAATTTGATATGGAGTTGACCTAGACAACTGAGATGCAGCCAGTTCTTCATCATTGTACATATTTTTTTGGGGGGAGGGTTAGAGACAACACCAACCAGTGGGTTGTAATTTCACAGAGGATAAATTGTACACAGACAGACTTTTGGGGTGAGAGTAGCTGAGTTAGTGCATTTCAGGGTTCTAATTATAAATTTAGAACTGGAAGGGACCTGAGAGGTCT